CCCCAAAACCCCAAAACCCCAAAACCCCAAAACCCCAAAACCCCGAATCTGAAGGAAGTGGAGAAAATTAAATAATAATAGCTTATCGCGTTCTAAATGGAAGGAGAAAAGTAATAACCATCACTCGAGTTTTCTACCAATATCCACTTAAAAAGTCCTTGGGTATTTATAGAAAACCTTATTGAAGTTACTTAGGCTATGAAAGGCTAAACTTACTTCTCTGTCAGTATCACTTCGTGATATATTTTCCCAAACCCTTCATCAGGATACTAACTTGTTAGGGGCTATTTTTAAGTGACTCAAAGTTCTGGGACCCAAGAAAATTCATGACTTAGTTTATTAAATTATCCTCAGGATTATTCCATTTTTGAAATATTTTTACACTCCCAATTAATTTTTCAGAAAAATAAGGTTTTAACAACATTTTCTAGAAAATACAACGAAGAGGCAAAGTATAACTTTGCAAGAGAAGACCTTCTAAGAAGGGTTGTAGGCAATGAACAGGCCAAGTGATATCAACCAAGCCCAGCTAAACTTGATCTTGGAAATTTAACTCATGGCGAATTATCGAAATTTAAATCAGAAGCCAATAACTTAGATCAAAGAGTTAACCAAGATTTGAAGCAAAAACAGCAGTTATCTCCTAATCCTTTCATGTTTCAGGAAGGAATAGACCCTGATCAAAAGTCTAACTTCATACAGGGGCAGTTTTGATACATGAATTTGAGTACAAAGGAAGGTCCGAAGAGCATTCCTGGTGTCTTTATTCCTTTGCAATATATAATGCCTGTAGTACCAGCTCCTCCAACAAGTGATGCTGGAAAAGTTCCTCAGTCGATGCCTCAGACACCCCAGAAAGCTCAAGAAATGCCTCCACCGCCTCCCAAAAATCCGCAGGTTTGAATTGACCTCACTGGAGATGATAGTGAAGATCTTAGTGAAAAAGAAAATTCAAATTTTGAGCTCAAAAATTATGCCTTTAAGCCAATTTTTCAAATTACGAAATCTTTTTCCCAATCAAAACAGCTTTATAATACTGAATCACTGGAAAATAAAGAAGAGAGACCAATCGAAGAGAAAACCCAAAATAAAAAATTTAAATTTCGTATTGGAAATTCAAGAACAAAAGAAAATATGGAGGAATCGGTGAGAAATACTGAGTTTGATAAAAACCCAGACCTAGGTTTGAATAAAACTATTGGTGACAATTCAGGCACAAATTTACGCAAGAATGTAGGGTTTCAGCCCTACAAAGCTCCTTCTAAAATGGACTCTAGCCCTAATACCTCGTGCTTCGTTGGCAAGGATGAGCCTTGAGATGAAGACTCTAATGAAGAATTTGTAAACTCTAATTTCCAAGCCAAAGATTCTGAAAATATTAAAGATATCCCTATTGACTTGAATAAATCTGTAGATGAGGAGTTTGCCGTGCATCTAAAATCGGGAGACTCTGAAGAAGATCCTGAGCTTTACAGAAACATCTTAGAGTTATCAATGGACTCAAAACAGCCAACAAATTCGAAAGAAGAGTCTAAAACTAAGGATGACTTACTCGGAGATTATATTCTGAAACTTATTGAGAGTAGAAGAGAGACTCAGAACTTGATAGACAGCGGAAATTTTATCAAAAGAGGTCCTGGTAGACATCGTAAGACAAAGTTCCCCACTACAGAGAAGGTTAAGGAAATGGTTGATGATTTCTTTATGTTTGGATTTGAAAAGCTTAATCAAAATAAATACAATAACACTAGGACCGATGCTTGACTGACAATGTACCAGAGAAACTTGAAGAAAATTACACTCTTCCTCCTCAAGAATGTGTCTGTGAGGAACAAATACAAGTGTAATGATGCAAAACAGTTCCTGATGGCTTACAGCGAGACATTCGTTTTATTTTGATTTATATTTTTCAAAGAGATTCCAATCGAAGACACTCTCATAAAGTTCCTAGAGTTTACTTGTATCTACTACCCCACTGTAAAAGTGAAATCTCTTGCCAAGAGATTGTGCATTGAAGGATCTATTACCAAGGAGTTTCAGGCGCAATTGGAAAGACTAGCTTCAATAAGAGAGCAGACTTCTAAATAAGTCTTTCCTAATTTTCGTAAAGAACAATTCTTGAATGAGAAGAATCATTAGATATTGTAAAGACTTATATGACACAAGAGGAAAGCATGTACTTAAAGGAAGAGCCGCAGGCTGTGTTCAGAAGCTGTTATATCACTTTGACTAAGAAAGCTAACCACCACTGACAAGTGAAAATAGTATCCACTAATTTTTACTGTAAAAAGGTATATCACCACTAATTTAGTATCTCCAAAATATTCGTATTTTTCCATAAAAGCTCCTATAATATTTTTATAAACTGTAATTTTATGGTAAATGAACAAGGGGTTCGTAGTAAACCCTTGTTTGCAATTTTGGCTCTCTTAATAGCTGTCAACTCTTCCAGTTCAGTGCATTCACTCTAGGCCAAATCCTATAAATTAAGGGCTGGATCCGGGTCTTTTAGTCCGGAAAGATACGGACATTTCTAATGAGGTGTTATTAATCCAATTAATTAAAAATATTATGGGGTTTTGGGGTTTTGGGGTTTTGGGGTTTTGGGG